TGGTGAAAAGCACCAGACGCTCAAAGCTCATCTCAGTCCTGAGTGCAGAACTGCTGATTTCCAACAGAACAAGCTAAAACTCTCCTCTGTATTTACTTTATAAATTCCAGCCCACCCGCCCACCCCCACAAGACCTGGCAGCCAAAAGCTGGTCGATGGATGAAAGAATTAATATTAGGGTCATTTTTAAAGCTGTGAGCTTTCTGTCTTAATCACCTTGTCGAACTGCTGTTCACATATTCATCAGCTGTCTTCTGTATTTGACGCAGCACCATTAAAGGGCCAGTATGTAATTTCTACGAGCTTCACAGCAGTGAGTAATACAAGCAATAAATCAACTTTAATTTACTGCCTTGCCTCTGCTATTAATCTTTGGCATGTTACTCAGAGCAAAACAACTTGGGACAGAGGCTTTCTGGGCCTTGATAAATAAACAGCATATCACAGTTTAAATTTATTAAATTTTATAGATAGGGGCACGTAACGGGGGGGGGGGGGTGTTCACACAAGCAGAACGCCTCGGTTTTTGGAACAAAGGATATAGGGGGGGGGGGCTTTGGTATGTTCAGTTCAGTGAATCAGTAACCAGGCGAAGGGGGGCATCCACACGGCAAAGGTGACTCTCTCTCTGTGCGGGGGGTCCTCGATGACCGGTCCCACCAGTACAACAACCCCAATGTTCACATGAACCCTTTCCCCTTCATTAACGTGCTAACAGGCTTTTAACCGGCCATTTGATCAAGGCCCGGAAAACAGACAAATGCCCCCCCCCCCCCCAAAAAAAAAAACATTTCGACCATTTTCACCCACACCATCAATGATGCCCTTTCTTTGTAGGCAAAGACACCACTCCAGCTTAACTGGAATCAAAAATCCCTTGCTGAAGGTAATGCCTTTTAATTAAAAAAAAATTCTCTTGGGATTTGAACCAGCAACCTTTAACGCACCAGGCTGCTCAGCCTCAAACTGTTATTAAAAACAGGAACACCGACCTCTGAAAACCGGCATCTAATTGGCCATGCTAAGCCTTACTGTGCACTAAAGGTGACGGCCCCGGGGCCAGGAAATCACGGTACCTCTGCCCGGCGAATCTGCCCGACCTGGTGTCCAGAAGGTTTGCATCACCCCCCCCCCAACTGCATCCACATTAGGGGAAATTGCAGGTTTTTGGTTATTTTTTTTTGTTGTTTTTTACCAGTCACACAGAAGTGAACTAAGCTATAATGTGAAATTTGTAATCCAGAATTGAACAGGAACAATAAAAACATACCGCAGGGTCCCCCCCCACCCACCCACAAATATTTTTCCTTCCTACAAATACAATAATTCCAAATGCAAATTGTTTGGCCGTATTTCAAAAATAGCAAAGTGGAGACTCGGAGAGGTTCCCCGCAGCGGAAACGCGCAGCGATTTTGCCATGATCTGCAGCAGCCTGACTTATTGCGATCTACTCTGCTGCTTTATTAAAAAAAAAATAAATAAATAAAAAAATATAGGCCTGCACAGGAAAATCTCTAGATGACTATGTGTTCCCCAATCGTCCGTGGTACCGTGCCCCCACCCCACAAGCACACAGCCCCCGAGGACGACATCGGCTGTGCCCGGCCCCTCAAGGTCACATGAAGAACACGATCTGGGGCTGGAACAGCTGTTTAAACAATAGGCTCGTTACCGCCGCCAATCGCCGCGGCGATATTCCCAGAGTGCTCCTCTCTCCGGCGGCACTTCAAAGGGACGGCGGAGTTACGGGGGGAGGCTGCGGCCGGCATGCTCCCACACCGCGCTGGGGAAAAGGTCACAGCTTAGGCCGAGGCCCCCCCCCCCCACTGGGAGTCGCCTCTGCCTCTCAGAGCCTGGGGGGGGGGGGCAGGGATGTCAAATCGGGAACCATATACTCTTACCACCCCCCAGCCCCATGGAGACCGCCTCCTCCGCAGTGATCACAAGGACATTAATTGACTCCACACATGTTGAAGTACTGAGGCCACCCCTACCGGCTTTTCAAAAGGGGGGGGAGGGGGGGGACTCCTCGCGCTAAGCAGGGCTTGTTTTTGCGTGCATCTGGTGTACAGGAAGTCCTCAAGCACCGGTAGCTTCCTACCTCTACCTTCAAAGGCCCCCGGATGGGAATTAATGCCCCCCCCCCAAGTTCAATTGCTTCCAGCTCTGGGCCACATCCTGGGCCGGCCGAGGCTCAAAGCCGTCGGGACTTCAGAGACCCCGGCCAGACGATCCCACCCATTCCCTGCCCCCCCCCTTCCCAACTCCCCCCTGCCGCCTTTTCCCTACCAATTAATCTACTGAAGCTGCCTCCAGCCTATGACACATCAGGGTGGCACACCCCCCCCCCACCCCAGCCCCACTTCAGTGAGGATACCTGCCACCACAGACCAGTAACATAGCAACCAAGCTAAACCCCCATCCACGGGGAGCTGACATTTACTCCTGAGACCCCATAGAGCTGCGCGAATAAAGCCCATTGTCCCCCCCCCCACCTCCCCCACCACCACCACTTCCAGCTTCCTTCGTTTATTACCTTCTCTCCCTCTCTCTTTTAAAACGACTTTTACTCGCACCGTGAAAGGGTTTCGGGCCAAGGAGCGTCCTCTGATAAAAGTGCCCCCCCCCCCCGGGCCGGGGTGCTGATTACGGTGTTTTAGTGAGATCAGTGCAAACAGCAAACAAGCCCCCACCGCATCAGTCAAAGCGGAAGGGGGAGCATAATTAATTTTTTTTAAAAATAGAGAGAGAAGAGGCCGCATTATAGCATGTTACTGGTGTGTTTCGGCGCAAGGCGGCAGGAACCTGAAAATGACGCATTATTACCTCAGAAGCTCCCAGATGTGTGAAGCCCCACCCTACCGCTCCCCGTCTCCCGTAGCAACCGGAGGATGCCAGGTGTGACACAGGACAGAAGGACCGGCAGGTACTTGGGGTCATGGGGGGCTCAGGCGGAAATAGGGATGCTACTTACTCACGTTTAATGTTGCTATTGTCCCCCCACCCCCCCCCAGTGAACGGCTCACTTTAAGGTGACCTCCGCACCGCCCCAGGGTCATGACCTCCCGAAATCCTTTCACCGTGTGTATCCTGGACCGACCACAGACGTCAGCAGACCCTTGGAGAACAAGCCCGCCAGAGCAGGCCATGCAGCGCCACTTATTTATTCTCACAATAAATAAGTGCCGCCCGCATTTATCTGGAAGCCGGAGATGAACCGGAACTACGTACATAAAGTCTAGCCTGAATTCCACAGTAATCTCAGCGCTTGTACTCTGCATTTTAATACCTGTGTAATATTCATGTCTAAGCACATATCCCCCACCCAAAAAAAAAAAAATGCTGAATTTGTGTGTTTTTAAGTGCAGGATTAGCGGTAAACAGCGCTGCGGGTGACATCTCGCCATTCGTCCCTGCGGTCACTGGCAAACGCACTAAAACGTACTCGCCCCAGATATGCCCACATGTACAGGAAGCAGGAAATGGAAAAGCACCAGAAACAGGAAGTGCCCGCCCCCGACACCAAAACGAGGGCATCCGGGAGTCCCTAATGAAGGAGGTCTCATCAGGTGAGGGTCCAGCAGAGCTGAAAGAACAGCTGGAATATCAGGCATCGAGCAAACACCGTACCATCAGGTGCACAATCCAACCGGGCTTCCGTCTCAGACTTATGGGAGAGTGGGGTCATCACTACTGCCCCCAGCCCCTAGCCCCCAGCCCCTAGCCCCCAGTTCCAACACTGATCACAGGGAAGCTCTAACAGAGCTTTGCGACTCCGGGGCAGGGCATTCCACAATGGCACAGACATACAATTTAAACACCAAAGAGAGGAAAAAATACTTAACTGACAAGGAATAAAACCACAAAGAATAACCACGGATAATTGCTGTAAGCTGTGGAAGTGATCAGCGATAAAGTCAATGCCCTTTCTGCCATTAAAAGGGAGAAGGATCATTCACACCACATTTCCGGAACCTTCGAGGGAGAAAGATAATAATAATAATAATAATAATAATAATAATAATAATAACCATAATTAACAATCCTTAATGGCCATGGTCGGGCACACTTTGCTGCTCATGCTCAATCTGACAAATATCTCCTGGATTAATGAACCGTGCGAGAAGGGAAATTATTAACGATGACAAAATCATCAAAGACACATAATATCATATATATGTGCACTTTATATACCGGATGAACCTCTTTTCAGTCTGTAATACAGGAGCAGGTTCATGTTACCATATTTTGACATGGTTCCACTCACTAACCATCGACGGGGTGTCCACTGCACCCCCCCCCCCTTCCCCCATGCATGATGTGGACAGCATTTCTGCTCGGGCCCAAACCCCCCCCCTCCCCACCCAGGGGCACACAGACACTCAGCCTTGATTTGCACCATGCAGAGGCTCCTTGGTCAGCAAACACCACATCAATCGCAATTACAGCACCAAAAACGACAACAGAGGGTTAATACTTAGAATCATCCAGAACCGCCGCTGCTCCCCCATGCCCCCCCCCCCCCCCGCCCCACATCCTTCCCTCAGCATAACATTTGCATGGTATGATAAAAGGGGCTCTTGTGTGTGGTTCCTGCTGCACACCTCGCCACATAAATTCACGGAAAATAAATACAACTATATCTCAGAGCAAGGCGAGACCAACCCCCCCACCCCCACCCCGACACTTTATTTGATCAAAAGTGGGCCGTGAGAAGGGAAATGCCAGGGTAAATCATTGCTGTAAAATACATGCTTTAAATAAAATTATTTCATTTTCAAAAAATAAATAAATAAGGTGAGTCTTGCAGGAGCCCAGGGTGGGGGACTGTTGTCGTCTGCTCGCGTTGCCGCTGTCAGAAGCAAGCCGGCCCCTCTCCCCTACTTCCCCCGTGCCAGTAATCTCTCGCAGCCCGAGAAAGACTGCCTCTAAATTTAGCATCAGATTTCTCATGCTGTAGGGAAAGCTGGAGCGAACAAGGCAGGATGGGAGGAGGGGTGGGCAGGGGGGGGCCTGTCGGCTGAGGGCCTGTCTGTCATGAGTCACGACCGGGCCCGGCACAGGCAGATCCGGAACCGCGGACCCAGTGAACGCCGAGAGGCCCGGAGGCCGGCCTGCCCACCCAGCTGAAAGGGAGAGAGAGAGGATATAAACATTTAAATTCAAAAATAGAAAGAAAAAAAGAGGGATGGGGGGAGGGAGAGGACACAAAAAGTAGTGCTCCAAGGCAGGAGGAGGACAGCCAGGGCAGGGGGGGGGCAACAGGCGAACGTCACACATGAGCAAACGAAAGCACAGGTCATGAGAAACTGCATCTCGCCACTGGGTGCCGTTTGTCCGGGAATAACAAGACGGGTCGGCCCCTCTCGACCCGGTCCGGGCCACGGCCTTGGCGGGGGTCAGGGGCAGCCCACGAAAACGCACCGCCGGAGGCGCGACACGAGGCGCAAACGAGACGAAGAAGCCAGGGAGCAGAGCTGAACGAAACACAACACGAGCAAGAACGAATGAGACCAAGACCAGGCCAGGCGATTATCCGCTTCCCGGCCCGGGAGGATCCGGGTCAAGCAGGAACACTCAGAAGTGCTGCTTGGTCCTCGACCATCTCTCAGCCACGATAAAGAAAAATAAAAAAGGGTCACTCTCCTTCCTCTACGAGGGGCTCGAGAGTGCCCAACAGCCCCCCACACCAGCAGGGGGCATTCAGCAGCGCCGTGGATACGCCACGCCACATCCTGCCCCCGCTAACGTCCTTCACAACAAATCGGCAAGGTCAAACGTCACCTAAATATGTCCAGTAAACAAGTAGAATTAAACATCAAAATACACAGGAACTCTAAAGAGAGACTGGAGTGGGGAGGCGGTTAACAGTTCAGGTAATTCAGCCTTAGGGGGGAAGGGGGGCCGTGAAAGAAATCTGAAACATGTTTAACCCTGACAAAACATTTACGGCCAAATCCTAGTAAACTGCTCCATTCAGCGAGAGTTACTGTCACCCAGCAGCAACCATCGAGTCACCATCCATCCTTCACCTGTGACGAAAACCCCCATTGCACCATCACTGAAAGGATTTACCCACGGGGGGGGGGACCTCACGCATCCTGGGAACCGCAGAGTCAGAGAGGGGGGGAATAAAAGTATGGCTGCACACCCACAAGCTGGCGGGAACACCTCCCAGTCCGGAAAGCGGAATGTCTCCTTGTTTCTTTAAGGTTCTTATCGCGGGGGCTCATCGTCCCCATTCAGTATCCCACAATGCCGCGCTTCTCCGCTTTCGGGAGCTGCATTATCACCCAATCGCTATCTATTATGCTCGCCGGCGGCACGGAGCTGACCCCGCGGCCAGCCACGCCGGAGATTACCAAGGCGCACATTATACAACTAAGAGGAACTTTGATAGACATTTGTGTTGTTTTCCAAGGCACAGGGATGTGAATTTGAATAAGGAGCTGGGGGGGGCAGTGGGGTCTTGAGTGCCCCTCTCCCATGCGTCCGGCGCTGGGAAAACCTTTGTTAGCCGCGCGTTGAGAGGGGACGTAGCTTTCCTCCTCCTCCTGCCTGGCCGCTCTCCTCATTAATGTCACTCAACATCAGTTTTTGCTAGGCTAACTGCAGTGCCCCCCCCCCTTCTCCCGCTGCCTGAACGCCATCCTAACCGATATTATCACAGAGCCCAGCACCCTTTGAATGGTTGGCTTGAATAAAAACACGAGGCAGGGGCCGCGGAAGGGAGAGGGAGACCATTGAGACAAAAGGACCCCTAAAGTGGCAAGCGGAACGCTCACCACCACGCCCCCTTCAGGTCGCTGCGCCACAGACGACACCATCAAGTCACAAAACGCCGGGGGGGGGGGGGGGGGGATGTTCTTATTTACATTGGCGCAGTAAAAGCACTGAGCCAGCTAGGCAGTACCAACAGACCCCAAGATGCATGGGACGGCCAGAATAACATACAAAGGCATTCAAATTACTAAATTGTTATTAAAAACTATCAGCTGTAATTTCCTATTTATAAGAAGCATGAATTTAAAAAGCAAGAGCAATAAAAGTGACACGAATCCATAATATCTTGCTTCCCCGCCAGCGCTGTTCTCCCGGACTGTCCAAGACCAGCGAAACCACAAACCGGCAATTTCCCATCATGCCACAAAATTGCAGCGACGACAGGAGATGTGATGACGCCTACCAGGATGGGGAAAGGCGGTTCTTGTGGGAAGTGGTGGTCAGGTTGGTGATGGGGAACCTCGGCCCTCCGCATGCTGAATCCGGGCTGTTCATAAGCTCCCCTCTGGGTGTGCAGGCGTCGGGGGGGGGGCTCCACGGCGATGCCGGGGGCCCATTAGCTCAAGGCCAAGTACATTATCCGATTGACGCTCCCGTTATAATCAGGACCCAGTTTTTATTTTCGTGTTTTTCATGTGCATTTGCGATAATGTGAGGTCTTTCCTACACTTAAGGAAACTCCAGGAAAATAAGGCACACACACACACTGGATGCGCACAATCACCTTCACGCGGACACACTCGATGCGCACAATCACATTCACGCGCACACACACACACATGCACACATCTTTGTGGGGACTCTCCCTTCTTTTCTAATTCATTTTTACTTTTCTGACTGCAGTCACAGGTCTTTGTGGGGACCTGAAAAATGGTCCACACAACGTCAAAATTTGGTCCCCACAATGTAATAGAAACATAATCCACACACAAACACACATAAACACTGACATTTGTGTTTGCCTTTTATTATGGGGGTTCCACAATGTCAATGCAATAAATACCACACACAACAGACACACACACACACACACACACACACACACACACACACAAATACAAGCTAAATGTATCTCTACTGAAAAGCTCCCTTGAAATCATATTATTTTTCCCGTAAATAACAGACATGCCCCTTTAAAAACACAGAAAAATGCGAAAGCAGCAGAGCTTCACGTCGGACCTGTCAAACGGCCGAGACGTCCTGTCCCATCACCTACCCCCCCCCCCCCCCCCCC